AATAGAAATATAAAAGATTATGTTTTTCACCACTGAATTATAAATTAAATTAAATGGAAGGAAAAAAAACCAAACCAAAACTCCAAAGCAATAAAGAGGACATTGTTTGTTGGTGACCAAGTGCGCACTCACATTTAAATACAATCACAACAGCTGCTGTACAGAACAGAATTAATTGTACAAAATAAAGAAAAGTAAAGAATAGCAATAAAAAGATCAGATCTTTCCAAATGACCTTCACCTGGCAAAGGAAAATGACTTTATCTTCCTCCCTCATTCCCCACACAGCTGTATGTGAATTCTTGTTAAACCTGTAATGAGGGCAGAGGCAAAGGATACTTTTATAAATACAGTTCCTATATAATTTATTGATTCTTCCTTGTGTTGCAGGCTTGTGTCTTCTACAAATGCTGTTTCTTCTTGTCCTTAGAAATAAAGAATCAGAGCAGCAGAACTATTTCTCCAAAGGATAAATGAAAGTCAAATGACCTTGGAATTCACCAGCAGCCCTTTTGGATCCCTAAGACATCTAAGACCAAAATTTCTTGTTGGTATTAGGAAACAAACAAAAACCAAAAAATAGCAGTTAGAGATTGTAAAGTTAAAACTGGCTCTTAGGACAATAAACAGCCCTTCTTGAGCCTGGCTGCAAAACTGTGAGCTGCGCTTGTGCCACTGAGTCACGTCCAAAGGAGGAGATGAACTGGGGAAATATTTACACAGAGGTCCAGGATTCGGAAGGACTATACATTGTGCCTGCTTTTTAGCAGATTTTTCTGGTTTTAGGAAAAGTCAAAGAGAAACTTCAAAGAGCAGAATCCGTGTTGATTTGGAGAGCTGAAGTCTTTTCTCAACAAATGTTGGTGTTTATCTTAAAAAAGGAAGCAAATGAAAGGTCTAAATTCACCCCTTCTTCCAGTTCTCCAAGGCAACAGAATGACACTTAGGAGGAGTTAGGGTTAAAGATGGCAGCACAAAGGACAAAGTTCTTGAAAGTCTTCAGCTGAAGGTGGCAGAGTCATCACTGCTCGTCTGTGATTCCCTCTCCTTAACAGGCCACGTGAGCTCTGTTCCACTTCTCATAATCTGACAAAACTCTACTACATTACCTGTCTGTCATGTAATGGTGCTGAATGAGGGCTGTGTGAACAGAGAACCAAACCTCAGGGCAGAGGTGAGAACTTTGCTCCTACTCTGCCAGACTCACCTGCTAAGCTTAGTCATCACAAGAGCTGTTTGCACTCACAGTGAGTAACACCTTGCTCTAGAAAAATAAGTTTGTAGTCAGTCAGTGTGTTTGCTCCATGAGTAATTTGCTAATAAATCCAAGAGTCAGAAGCTGCTCTTTGTGAGTCAATTGTGCCAGGACTTAGGATAAGGAGTAAGTTCAGGGGCCTACATAAAATGTTTTGAGATTCATGGTGGGAAAGGTGTAACTCATACGGAGCTGAGCAATGGGCTGAAGCACAGAAGGATCCAACTACTAAAACAGCACTTGGGTTATGAATCAAATTTTGGGGTCCAACAATCATAATGACTCATTTTCCTGGCCATGAAACTTGGGAGACTTTTCTCTACTCCTTTGATGGTTTTGACATTGGATAAACACTTCCATAATCTCTTAAAGGAAGATATTTTTTTCCTTTTTCTGATCAGATAAATTTCCAAGTCAAAGAGGTACAAGTATACTTCAATCTGACACCAGAGAGCACCCACTACCTTCAAATCATGAACTTCCTTCAGGTTTATCTGGGTCATGAATGTGTTTTGAGATGGCAATGTTTTCACAGAGATAAGGACTAAGAAAATAATAAAACCCCCAAATCTACAACATGGGAACATGGACAGCACAGGAATGTAAGTGGGAACCTAGGCTGAGATTTTAACAGGAGCATCAGTGAATCCATTGCTTAAAACCTCACTGAAAGTTCCAGTGTTAAAAACTAAAGGTATTTTGACACCAAACCTTTCAGACAGCTAGTTCAGCAGAAAAGGCAGTGATAATTATTGTTCGCTCAATAAAATTATTAAGTGTGATTAAAAATAGAAATTAGAGAGCCTGCCAAGGTCAGCAAACTTGCAGCTACATTCAAAAAAGAATTTTGCTTTTAAAATGTGCTAAAGTACTAAGGGAAAAAACAGAACGTTTGACATGGAAATAGAAACAACTTCTTAATGGTAAGAACAAATAGCAGTTCAATCAGGTAGAATTAGATCTATATGGACCATTAACAAAAGTATAGAGGGGTCATTAAGCCAAAAACTGGAAGTTCTGGGCCTTGAAGTGTGCTCAGATTTATTAATAGTAATAGATTAAAGGGTAATCCAGGCCAAAAATAATCTGTTGCCTGAAGAGCAGACACTCATAGTGATTATGTAACAGTGAGAGACTTAAGTCTTGAAATAAATCATTGTTGGGACCTTGGACCATATCCTGATTAGGCAAATATTTCATATAAGGCTGCATACATATTATTTGCAATGTTAAGCATTTTAATTTGATGGTAATAAAATGTTGCTTTAACAACAGTTTCCTAGATTTATTTGCCCAACCATTTATTCCTCCTTCTCCAAAAAGTCGATGTTTTAGTGGAAAAAACTGAAAAGGATTTTAAAAACCTTTTACTTATATTTTTTGCCCAAACAAAATCTAATTTAAATCTATCCACATCTTGAAATAGATGTTCAAATTAAATTGCTTTACAGCACATATTTTACAGATGTTGCAAATCTGCATATCTGACACAGTCAAACTTTTGATTTTTCCCTTTCCTCTCCCTCAGTTTGGGCAATAGAAAAAGCAGAATAATTTTCCTTTTCACTTTTAGTTATGGTTACCTAGTTTCACTCAAGTATCTAATGTTTTAGGACAGTTCCACAATGTTTCTGCTGAAGACATCTCTGAGGACTGTTCATTTGACTTTAGAATTTCTCCAGAAGTACCAGTACATATTCATTAAATTAATTTAATAAAATTAAATTTTTTGAGCCACTTATCTGATCTTGGTATGTTAAGGAGGTGGAGTGCCATGGAGATACAGCTGTTTCCCTCAATGCAGGGGGGTGACTGCACTAAAGCAGGTATCTGAGTTATACACCTACTCTGAGCAAGGACAACTCTGGGCAAAAGCATAGATTTTTTTTTTTTTTTTCACAGATTTCTTTAAATAAACAATCAGGGACTCCTTACCTTCTAGAGTGTTTTCTCATGGTGATGGCAATGTCCTTACTGACTTTGAGAGGAACAGCATCATGCCATTATCACTCTATTGCCTTCCATAATTTGAAAGGTGAGGGTGACACTGTTCGGTTTAATTCCTTGCATCTGGCTCTAAACACTGCAGGTGTTTGTCCCAGTCCTCAGGTTTAGTCTAAACTGATCATCCAAGGTGTAATCCATGCTAACAACTTCTATAGAGTGAAAATGTGTGTGAGAGCTTTTGTCACCCACAGTTATCTACCGCTGTCTCTGGGATCCTCCAGCTCTTCCTCCAAGTGAGTCCAGTTCTCTTAAAGGTTTCATGTCATAACTGTCAAAACTCTGTCTTAGATACCTAAAACATCTCAAATGGCTCTAAACATTTACACATGGACAACTATAGTTCTTCTTAACACAGAAATATCTGAATTGTTCCTTGGAAGAAAAGGTCTGGTTCTGCTGATTTGAAGTAGAGTTTAGATGGACAACACCAAGCCCTCCCAGCAATACCATTCCTTCCTAACATTCTCAATAAGGTGATGTTAGAGAAACAAGAAAAAAAATGGAATGAAGTCTCATTGAAGGAGTTAGAATGTGACTGGAAAAAGTCCCTAGACTCAAAGAGTCTTGAGCTCAAGCTATACCTCCTGTGTTTTCTGCTCAAGGATGTGTGGTAGATGGTAAAGTAATATTTCAAGAGTACATTAGCAAGGTTATTACCACTCAGCTGCTGTGGACTAAGCCAATCTGTCTTATTTGTTGTTTTGTTTTTATTTTATTTCCAGTGAGTGGATTCTGTTAGACCTCTGTACCTCAGCTGGATTTATAAAGACCATAAAGTCGCAGAAACAAGCTGTTGGAGAAAAGAAAGCATCATAAAATCAAGGCAACACAAAAGGTGACTCCAATTGCCTGCACTGATTGTGTTGAACAGAGACCCAGGTATGGCAGAGTGCTGTGGTACCAGGAGCTGAGAAAATAGAGAACAGAAGCCCATGCTGTCATTTAAACTGAAGTTCACAGAGGGATCAAGGCTCTTACTGAGACTATCAAGGTTTGTTTTCCTTTTAGTCTGCCATGCTCTTTTCACAAGAGACACCATGGCTGCTGCTTGAATGGTCAGGACAGATTCCCAACAGGTTCTGGCCTCATTCCAGTGCAGCTTTATTTTGCATTCCCATGTACAGGATGGTTCATTTGTCCCGTGACCCAAGAATTCCTTTCTACCAGATTTCCATGTTGGTTTTTCAATGGTGAGTAGATCAGGTGTTTCCCATGGACCAGAGGAAGCCTTTCTTTCAATCCATCCAGCATGAGAGCAAAGCCAGGATGCTGGAACTGTGTGTCCCACAACTGATGCACTGACCCTAACTCTGCTGCTGGAGAAGAAAGTGCTTCAAATTTCATGCGCCATCTCAGCCAAGTCCAGAAGTGCTTATAAAAAACAGTGTTAGTGTATCATTCAGAACAATCAAATACTACGTGCACAAAAAAGCAGTTTAGAGCAACATAAATTTTAAAAAAGTGACAATTTCATCACACAATTACTGTACACTGCTGTTCTTAGGGTTGAATACTTTCCTCTCTCACGCTCTCTCTTTCTCTCTGTTTTAATCTTTCTTTTTTATTTTCTTTTTATTTTCTTTTTTTTACTATTTTTTTCTTTTTTCCCCCCCCCCTTTTTTTTTTTTTTTTTTCCTCTGGATTTGGTCCACTGGAGATAAATTGCCCTCAATGATATATATATTTAAAAAAAATATCAGCAGCAAGACTCTCTCGAAATAGATTCTGTTTGATGTAGCTAGTCTGTCTTTTCTGTTTTGCCCTCTTTCACAGCAGCCTCTGAAGTTTTCCGCAGGGGGGCTTTCTCCGAGTTGGCGTGTCCTTGGCCGGATTCCGCCGCTCCTCCGTTTTTGTGCGATGTGTGCTTTTCCAAGTAGTTCAGCATTTCACTGAGAACAGTTTGGAAAGTGCTTAGGGCAGCACATATTGCAGGAGTTCCAAAACCGTGAGTGATCAAACTACAAATGGGAAAGAGACAGAAGAAGGAAAAAAAAAAAAAAAAAAAGAAAAAAAAAGAAAAAAATAAAGGGAAAGAAATACACACACACACATAAATATCAATGCGCCCACAAACACTGAGGAGTTTACAGTACGCTCATTTTGCTATACTGAAATTCAAGATTTGCTCCCTAAACTATTTATTACCTGTGGGAGAAACAGAAAAGAAAGGAATAGAGCCAAAGAGCAGACTGCATGCAGCTTCAAAGGTTGTTTTTGGTGGAGCCTCAGTTCTGAAACACCACAGGACAGACTCTCAGAAAGTGCAGACTGACACAGGGCTGTTGACTTCAGAGAAGCCAAGACAGAATCCATGCCCTTGGCTCTTCAGCATTGCTAATTTTCCAGTGTCATAAAGTCTGGCTCCCCCTTCTTGAGTAAATAAAAAGAATTTTGTGTGGTTTATTCAAAATTCTGGATCATACTCAGTTGACTTGATGATCTTGGAGGTCTTTTCCACCCTTAATGATTCTATGATTTTATAGCTCTTAAAAATGACCTGGTTATTTTAAATGAAGATATGACTGCATCTGTACTAGGAAATTCAGCAAAGCCAAGGATTCCATCTCCAACCCTCAGCACAATTGGCATGATTTGGTCATATCCCTGCTGCTACGCTCATGGACCATCCAACAGGGTGAGATCTGAAGTTCCTGCTGGGAATAGACCCTGGTCAATATCCTTGGCCAATACCCATGTTCAAGCAATGAACAGAAAATGTTTCACATAGGGCTGGTTTAGCTAGGTTGAATTAATGAATAATCATAACCAATTACTGGCAAAAATAACACAGTTCTAATGATGCTTCCCTGGTAGTGTTGAATTTACTGATATAGATTTGCCCTGTTGCACCTGCCACCTAAACATCTAAATAAGGGGATTTTATAAACACTGAATTTTTATTGTCATTGTTCCTAGCTGCCGCCTGTACATCCAGAAGTGTGAAAGTTTTCTACATGTCTTATCTCTTGGATACCATCTCTGTGAAGACCATAGAATCCCAGAATTTTCCGAGTTGGAAAGGACTTTAAAGAACATCTCATTACATCCCCCTGGCATGGGCAGGGACAGCTTCCACTACCCCAGGATGCTCTCAGCCCCATCCAGCCTGGCCTTGGACACTTCCAGAGATCCAGGGACAGCCACAGCTTCTCTGGGCAACTGGTGCCAGAGCCTCTCCACCCTCAGGGTGAGGAATTTCTTCCCAATATCCCATCAAACTCTGCCCTCTGTCAGTGGGAAGCCATTCCTCCTTTTCCTATCACTCTATGCCCTTATCCAAAGTCCCTCTCCAGGTACCATGGAGCCTGTTAGGACACAAGAAGGGGCTTTAAGGCCTCCCCAGAGCCTTTTCTTCTCCAGGCTGAACAATTCCAATCAGCCTTTCATTGTAGCAGAACTGCTCCAGCCCTCCAACCATCTTCATGGACTCCTCTGGACTTGTTCCAACAGCTCCACGTCATTCCTATGCTGGGGACCCCAGAGCTGCATTCAAACCTGCAGGATGTCCCAGCTACCATAGGATATAGGACACGCCACTAGAAATTGGTTTTTAGGTAATTGTCTTTGGCGTCATTTGCCTAAATATTATGTGTGCAGTATAAGATTATCATGAAAGGGCCAAAAAAACCCAAAGTTATGGGGCAACCAAGTTGTTCTCATTGTTATAGTGATTCATTTTCATAAGTGGTATGTGAAAACAAAAACCCCTGCCCTAATCATCCAGACTTTTAGTTTTAATTTAGAAACATTAATTAAAAATTATTTCAAAGATTGAAATGCCATTGAAATTTTCAAAAGTGATTTCAGTTATTTTAATCCCACTCAGAGAAGAAAAAAGATGAAAGGAACAGAAGCTAATTTTTGAGTTTGTGGGCATTTTTGGGAAATCAATACTTTACATTGGTTTGAGTGAAGGAAAAAGAAAACCCACATCACAGTGATTTCGCCGAGGAAAAATAATTGTTTCCTATTCCCTGCTGGTTAAGATTTTGTCCCTACAGTCACTCTTTGGCTGTCTTGGGCACCACATCAGTAAAACCTGATCTGATGTAGAGACCCACATGAGGGTTAGAAATACGAATATTTCACTTCAGTGACCTGTTTCCTCTGCACTTTGGCTTCTTGGTCTTTCCAGGCTTTTTCAGAAAAAATATGAAAATGTAGGGACTAAGGGGAAAGAGGTTTTAGAGGACATGGACAATTGGTAGGATGTTGTAAGTATTAAAAAAAACACATGGAAAAGGCTTCAAGATATTTCTTTGGGTCACCTTTCTGTCTGCTAGACATGGGAAACCTATTTGATAGGAAAGCTGGTATCTTAGGGAAGACACAAAAATATGTGAATTCCAACCAAAATGAGTGCTCAATATGGAAATATGTCTTCATTTCAGATTGGGAGTGGCATAGTCTTTTACAAAAGATCTCCAAAAGGCTATTTCCAAATAACTAGCATTTAGAACATTTATCCATCAGTCTCCAGGCACTTTTCAAAGCAGGAATTTATATTTACTCCCAGTTAGTAATGTGAGGAAAATTATAATTAAATATTTACAAGCAATATTTTGCAGACATCAATTAATAATACCACATAAAGTTTGGATGCTTGAAGTTTGAACTTGTATCAATATCTGGATCTTTATAATTTATCATTGCAAGGAGGTAAACATACCTCAGTTTAATTTTATTTTCTTTTTAGGTATGCCTAGCATACCTAAAAAGAATTATAAAAATCATCATCATTGTAAGTAATGTTTTAAATAGCTGTAAATCTAGATCAGCAGTAGCATACATGAGCATTCTAAGTCCTTTCAAGTCACTTTAGGAGTCAGGTGATTTAATGATTTTGTGTTGCATTTTATAATAATTTCTGGTCTTCAAAAGTCCAGAGAAATTAAAATGTGATGGAGTTTGCAGAAACAGTAAGGAAGAAAAAGGAAATTAAAGGTATCATTAGTAGTTATGTTATTGCATGATTTTTACACTGCTTGTGTGATCTTCTGGGTCCTGATTTGGGGAACTGACTATACTGAGACACGTAAAAATCTTTATGGTCTTGCAAATAAAAGAAACTTGTGTATGTATTATAGAAGCTGGAAATATCTGCATTCATTCATTCATTCATTCATTCATTCATTCATTCATTCATTTCCAGTAGATTCAAATAATATAATCATAGAATCATTCAGGTTGGAAAATACCACCAAGATCATTGGGTCCAACCATTCTCCCAGCACTGCCAAGCCCATCACTAAACCATGTCCCCAAAAGCCACATCTGTGTGGTTATTGAACACTTTCAGGGATGGTGAACCCACCATTTCCCTGGGCAGCCTTTTCCAATACCTGACCACCCTTTCAGCTAAGTTTTTCCTAATATCCAATCTAAACCTCTCCTGGCTCAACTTGAGGTTGTTTCCTTGTGTCCTATCGCTTGTTACCTGGGAAGAAAGACCGACTCCCACCTGGCTACAATCTGCTTTCAGGGCATTGTAGAGGCTGAGAAGGTCAAGTAAACAGTAAGTTTAATAGAGGATTAAATGGAAAAGAAACTTTCTGGCCTACAATTTTTGAAACTTTCAATTTGGGAACAAAAGGAATGATACTGTGTTCGTTTGCCTGCTCAATAGACCCTGAGAAGTAAAGTGGGAATACTACCTTCAAAACTTAGAGGGATTGTCTCAGAAATGATCTCTAGGGGTGGGAACAAACTTTAATGTTCTGCAATGCTGAACAAGACTGTAGAAAATCCCCGAATGGGAAAAAATCTTATATTAAGATACGTATGTGTAGGTGCCAACTTGTAGGTGTAAACATCAACAGTGCCAAGCTCCTGTTACCACCAAAGAGGACTTAATGTAGTTTGCTATCTGTAAGAGTCTACAGTGATTTGATATGTCCTGTGGCATCTGGAACATCTGCACAGATTTGCTAGATATGATACAGGACTGAAGTCCAGCCCACTTCTAGATGTTTTAGTGCTGGGCAGGTTATCCTTGTGTATCTCAAATTGTTTACACAAATGAATTGAGCCCTGGGGCTTTGTTCAATACACTCACAGAGGTCTGGAGAATGAATTAGCATATTAAATGGATGTGTCTCCTTGATGGTTAGCTTCACCATTCCCCTGGCTACACTAGGGGCTCCATCCTAAATAAAAATGTGATTTGGGTGCTATTTGAGATGTTCTGAGGTACCCAGACATCTATGTCATGTGAACAGGTAATAATACAGGGGGGTTAGAGGGGACCAGGACCCTTTTAAAGCAGCAGTGGGTGGGTGGAATACCTAATAGCACCTAAAAAAGCTCAGTGATATCTTGCCCTAGATCTTCATTGACTACATGAGAAGCTCAGACATCCAGCTCACATAAAAGCACCAAGATATTGCTACTTTATCCAGAGCAGAATTTGAAACTTATGATTTAAAAAACTAACGCTCATAGGAAAAGAATGTTTTGGAGTAAGGGGTCTCCTTCCTTTACAGTTTAGCCTTTTAGTTACCAGTAACCATTAAATATGGCAGCTCTCACCAACATAGCCTTATGTCTCTTATTAAAAAGCCAACTCTTTTTAGTGAAATGGTGCTGCAGAGTCTTGTGGTAACTCTACTTTCAGTTCCTGATGAATAGATTCTTCTCCACAAATGGGGATATGCAGAGCCTTTTAATTTTCCCATGAAGCTTATTAAGAGAAATCATTTTTTAGAAAAATTCTAACCAGCCCTTCTTGCCAAGCTCCTCTGAGGGTGTATTTTATTAGGCTCACTTTAGGTAATGAGCATAAAAAGGCCGAGAGATATTATCTTCTACTTTATCTTACATTTCTATCTGTAATTCCCCCTGCTCTAATTTTGGTGGTCCTTACTTCTCTGCAAGTTAAAGTCTTTGAAAAATTCAAGAAAGTTGGATAATTTCCCTTTGCTGATGAAAGTAAGTTTCAAGTTTGGGAGAAAATCTGATT